CACCGGTGAAGTTTCTAGTTCTCTTCCCCTCTACACACTCAGTCGGGGCAAAATCGTGCCAATGGGTGGACTAAGAAGTCATATGAGGATGTGTTCCGTTTATTTCGATAGATTTCCTGCAGTTTTTCCTCCAAGAACAATACAATATCGTGAAACGTTTTAAACAAACCAAAGCGACATCACAATTGTTTTACAACTACGTTCGTTGTGCAGTGCATTTGCGAGCAACACCATGCATTTAGATAAGACAGTGGCAATAGTCTTATTCCTCGTAGAGAAGTCAGGAGGATGGAGAAGTAGATGCGTTGATATTTCGGCAACGCGCCTTCATCGAAACGAATAACAGAAGTAAATTCACTTCTGCTATTGAAATTTACTTCTGCCATTCGCTTCGATAAAGGCATGTGGCCGAAATATCAACGCACCTCTACCGTCCTGGTTTACTACGAGGAATACGGCTATTACTACTGTCTTATATACAAGTGGCTTATGTTCGAGCCGAAGTGGGGCTATGCAGATCTCCCCCAGTCAGGGCCAACTTGGCAGTCTTTAAAGGCTCTGGGTCGCGGCCGCGTCTTCCCGGTTGGCCCACTTGGTAGAACACGGGAGTCGCGATCAGAACACCTGGCTCGAACCCCCAAATTCAAAAAGGAAATGCGCACTGTGACGCGTACGCGAATGGAAACGAAACATCAACGTCTTTCCCAGCAACTTAAACCTTACAACGGCCGGAGAGTTCAGTGGCTAGCACGCTACTTCACTGCGAAACGCATCAAATGAGGACAACAGTCAGAATATGCGCTCCATCCGTCACATCGTATCAGACCGTCGTGATCTGACTGGCCAGTCAGGTCACACGGCGACACGTACCTTCCAGGTTCCGAGCCCGAACATGGGCATCTCGTGGCCGGAGCCCAGCTTGACGGTAGGGAAGGCAGGCTGCGGAGGCGGCGTCATGGTGAGCTGCAACAGAGACCACACCGCGCTGATGATGCCGCCGATCCCGCGAACACGGACGTCTGTATAAGGCAAGGCCAGGTCGCCGACCAATAACCGACATCCGCAAACAACGGTGGCCGTGGCACATGGGCATAGCCTCGTTAACTAGTTTGGTACGCTGGACGGGAATGCAGGGTTAACTCTGCCCCTTAAATACACGAAAGGCGGGCTTCACTCTGGATTAAACCCACCTTCCTCTCAGGCTTTGGGTCGGAGCCTCCCACCCCGAGGCAAGACCGATGTCAACAACTTTCGATAGGGGGGGGGGGGGGAGGATGCGAGGTCCAGAACAATCACAACACTTGAATAAAAATGGGTGAGTAATCAAGCGCGTAACAACTGGCTTTCTCGTAAATGATCACTGGCATACAAATTGTCATGTGCCTTGCGCATCATCACCGTGAGGCATGGGATGAGGAAACCGGGGACGGGGCAGAGGCTGAAACCCACAACTTTCTGAAAACTTAACATTGGCCCTGTCGGCGTGACTGGAAAGAAATAATTTTCTTATATCTCATCTTTCATAATTACAATCCCTCATCCCCTCGCCCTCCTAACGCCATAGCACATCTGGTGCCCCATGCCAGCGGATAAACCTTATCGCAGTTTCGTAGCCTATTGGCACAGTGCATATTTTCCAGACCAACTGGCCACATGATTTATCAGATGACTGTCATATATAAATGCGTGTGTGTGTACAGTGGCAACAACTTCACAATAGATATTTCACGTATTTTCAACTCGCAGCTACACAAGGCCTAGACACCTGATTCCAAGCGCTTTTTGATGTGCCATAAAATCACAATAAAAAGCGTGTTGCTTCGCATCTGCCACGCACCCAGTTCCCATCAACTGACCCATAACTCTACAGAGCGACTCTCAGCGTTGATTATGCGGAGCTAGCGAAGTCGTTAACATTTCCTGCTCATTGGATGGTGACGTCACAAAACCACAAAACCACTGCCAACACAACATACTTGGATAAAACGCTATGAGGCCTGACGGGACTGGACGGGACCATGGCCAACCAAACGAGACCGGATGAAACCACACCAGACGGGATCGGATGGCACCGGATGATACTTTATGGCACCAGCTGGGACCGCGCAGGAACGGACGGGACCGGGCGGGACCGGACGGGACCGGACGAACAGAACTGGACCAGCCAGAAGCGGACAGAATCAGAAGCGACCTGATAAAGCTGAACGTTACCAGACCGGAACAGCCGTGGGCGGACGGCATTAGATGAAGAGGACCGCACCGGACGTGACCGAATGGAGCCGAAAACTTCAGAACGGAACCAGACGAAACAGGATGAAACATGGTGACGCCGGATGGGACCACAGGAACCAGACGGGACAAGACGGGGCTGGACGGAAAGGGGTGGATTTGGACGAGACATTATGGGATCAGATGGTCCCGGGCGAGACCTAGGACCGTGCGGGACTAGATAGAACCTGACAGGAGCAGACAGGACCTGACGCAATAAGACAGGATGAGACGGGGTCGGAAGGCAAGGGACGAGACCAAGGGCGCGTTCAGCCAACGGAAAACTATTCAACGAATAATCATCTCTCCGATAATCATCCGCGGAGATTCCCCATTTTTACTGGGCCGGTCCAGAAATTATCTCCCAGATTAGTCTCCCATGCGCCATCCGCAGCCAACGGTCATAGCTATGCATAGCGAAAACAGATTCTCCGTCTTGACCATGCTCTGAAAGTTCTCCGCGATTCTCTCTCGCTACGGAAAATTATCTGGAATAGCTTTCCATGACGGCAGTGTCAAACGCCATTCAATAAATTTTCCAACATTCCGAATAATTTTCCGAGATTATCTGCCGGCCGAACGCGCCCCAAAAGGAACCCGACGGGACAGAACAGGGTCCGTCAGGGCAGGATCAGAATCCACCGGGACAAGACCGCCCGTCTGGCCCCGTATGGCCTCTTCCGGCTCCACGTGACGTCGTCCGATTCTATACGGTCCCGAGCAGCATCGTATGGTCCAGTCCGATACCGCACTGTTTGGCCTGGTCCCATTCCGCTCCGTCCAAACCTTTCCCATTCTGTTTAAACCCAGTAAGCCTCATCCCGCCCCATCCGTTTCCGTCCGGGACACGGTTTTCTTCGTTTTGTTGCTATTTTTACTTTACAACCAGAACAGGAACAGGAGCTAACGTCAGATC